GAGGGAATTTGTGGAACGAAGGGGCAGAGAACCAAAAATCAATTGAGGAGAATAGGGGACACGTTTAAGAGCGACTGGGAGGAGAGAAGTGTTGGAAGCATTGAAACAAATGGTTAGTAGAACCCCATGCCCAGATTAGTCCGAGATTGGAGGCAAGAGATGCACTAATGACATTATGACCGTGATCGATGTTGGTATTAGCATGACGGAGTGTGGGGTAAGAAAGAGGAGTCTATGTGCGAAAGTCGGGAAGGAGCGACAGAATGATGGATATAGGCTCAGATACCAGCTTTAGAAAGAAAAGAATGGAGGAAGTAATTAGGGAACTGAAGATGAGTAGTGTCTGATGAGGGGGAGATTTGTATATCCGTCAAAAATAAAGCCAAGGGGGAAGAAGATTGGAGAAAGTGGTGTACGGAAATAACGTTTAGATTTAAACGACTATGTTGGTGAGGGCTATGGGGTGTTGTGATTTTGTAAGTAGAGTGCGCATTAAGTGATTTCTGTAGGTTGTATTGATCATATATGGTGAGAGAAGATCGGCAACCCAACCCTGAGACTTGGAGTGGTAAACCATAAAAGGCCTCAATAGATTGAGCAGGGCGACAGCGGGGCTGCCTACCACCGTGTTCTCTTGAGGAATCCACAACCGGAGCCTTTGGCTAGCCAAAGTCCGACCCGCAAGACAACGGGGCGGTGCGTGAAAACCGCAATCTATTGGGGGCTAGTGTCCAGTTCATCGGATCATACGCCCTTCGGACGGGGTCAAACATTCAAGGTGCCCAGTACACCTCAATGCCCGATTGAGCAGGTGAACACTGACACAACCGAAAAGGTGTGGGTGTGGTTCGTACACCTCCTCATGGTTAGTTTGGAATCAGGGTTTTTGGGCCAACTCCCCTAGATGAACTACCAGTGGTCCACCAACAGTGTTATAGCCCCGGATGTCGGTTTTCCGTAACCTCAATTTGGTGGGAAAACACCGCCACGAGAAGGCAGTGAGTAGGGCTTCCTCAGAAGAGGCTATTTGAGACGCTTGGTCTAATGGGAACATTTCGCGAGATGCAAGGGAAGGGTGACCAGTCGTAACCCTAGACACCCACCCCCGACTAAACTGAGGCTTTCGGAGGTGAATGCCTTTGTTCTCATTTGTCGGACAATCAGCCCGCAAGTGAGCATAACTCTTAATTGTAACGGCATCCGAGGCATGTGTTCTCTCGTGGCTCCAAAAATAACAGACGCCATTATGGGTGAGCGTTTAAATATTTCACTTCCTATATTGATAAATTTGTTATTTCAGTTTGCTTTCAGATCTGTAGGAGCTTATACGTGTAACACAAACGATTTATAAACTTTGTACTATTATACACCGATTTAATTAAACACTACGATTTGTTTATACATTTTCATACCACGTTCCGTTTTATTATTTTGCAGATGCCGTCTACAAACATCAATTCTGGGAAGAAAATCACCAAGAAGAAATACGGATGCTGGGAGAATTTATTCACAAGCATCGACAATTTCTACCATTCATATAATTATCTTGATTCCATTTTTGCTAATATATTTCCCGAAAACCACTGTAGCTGTTTCAGTTACGTTTAATACGGGAAACTGGTCTTGACAACTAAAACGCCAACAAGACGAGACGTGGTGTGATGGCTTGTGCAACTCTGACCCAGCGAGTTACAGAGCCAGATCTAATCATGCCTGGAATGTCAATGGGTAGAGGTCAGACGAAGTCCAGTCTCCTGGTCCTCCAGGTTGGGTGCTCGACTGAATTTCGCGTTACAGTCGGTAAAAAATTGTGGAGTAATCAATTCAAGTAAATGGGCCTCTACTTCGCTTCACCCGCTGCGGTTAGGTTCTAGTGAGAATTGAAGACTTTAGACGAGAACCCTAATCGTTCTCCTGCTAATTAGTTTGACACCCGAACAGTACCTGTCCATCAAACCCCAATGCATACACCACTTACAAATAATTCCATATCACATCGGTCGTAGTGCAGAATAATCAGGACCGCGCCGTCCATTGCATGGAGCGAGGTGGGTAGTGATAAGTGGGCTACTGCTCAGATATACCAGCCTTCATTTATTTTTTGTCTTCAGCATCCAGCCCGTTCCATTTGCCCCTCCTTCTAACCTGTAATAGTCCCTCAACCAACTTGGATGTCATTCGGCAACGGTCGTTGCCAAATATCACTGTAGGTAATGTACCACAAAGTAAAATGCCGATTCTAAAGCATCGTCAATCACTGAATCTGGAGACCTTCTGAGTGAGAACTTTGATGCAGGTAGGAAAACAAGCTTGTCTGGTGAGTACAATGGAATCCTTAGGGATCGACATTTGCCGAGTGTCAGAGACTGGAATCTAGGAGCCTACTACTCTAAGCCCCTTGAGCGCGCCAGATTTGTCGACGAGATACGTTCTTCTCACATCAGGCGACGATGAAGCTCGTTCAGTAGGTCAGCGCGGGGTACGTATTGTACTGAGTAATTGGGCGGAGTCCTCTCCTATTGACTGGATCCGCGTCAACAGTTGTTTATGTGCAGTGCGCCTCTAGGGTTTAGTCAGCGTCCGGAAGAGAAGCAACACCAAAAGGTGTTTGCTCATCGCATCAACATATGCACCGACCAATTGCAGTTCTGACGCACAAAAGGATAAGCTTTATGATAAACAGTGAAGCGAACTACACTGATCGCTGCCAAACTCATAATGCATACAAGATAAGTGAGAATGTGTAAGGAGGACAGGGATTGGGCCTATTTTTAGGGACGGGAAAATAAAGTGAACCTCTATGGTGAACACAGAGTAAACAGCCCAACTATGCATACA